TTTGACACCCATTCTTTCCACGTGGTTCTTCGGTACTTATCTTCCTCCAACGAACCTGTCACCAAGAGCTGATAAACATAAACCATTTTCTGCTGACCCGGACGAAACGCGCGTGCAATAGCTTGCTTTGTTTTCGAAGGATTCCATTCTGAATCCAACATGATCACACGCGAAGCCGCTGTCAAACTAATGCCTTCAGCGCAGGCTGTGATTGAAGCAAGTAGTATCTTTGATGCTCCACCAGGCTCCTCGAACTTATCCATTATTTTGCCACGTTCGAAGAGCTCGAGTTCACCAGTTAGTACTAAAACTTCTCGGCCCTTTTGCCATCCAAAGTACTTTTCGAAATACTCTTGAAATAGTCTCACAGGTGCAATGTTGTGGCAAAAGATGAGAACCTTTTCGTTCTTGACAACACGATAGATAAGGCTCAAAACAAATCGTACTTTCGAACCTATTTTCAAATCAAACTTGTACTTATCAAGATCAGACAATTGCTCCTTTGTTAAAAACTTCTGAGAACATACCGCTGTTTTGACCAACCAAGGATGAATCGATCCAAGTGTTATCAAAAGCTCTAACTCGAGAGGGTATCCACTGCACTTAGCCATGTCAATATGCAGTTTCCGCAGAATCTCATGCTGTATATCAGTTGTGTTCATTAGCAGTGTGTAAATTTGTATACCGGGTAAATCGTCAGAACTTCCACCTTCATAAACATCGATAAAACTGTTCGTCGCATTTCTCAACATGTTCAAGCCTTGCAATCTTTCCTCACCAACATTCGAGTCGATTTTCTTAGCAATGTTATCCAAGAAGAATTTTCTAGCCCGTGACTCGATTAAATACTGTGCTTTCTCGGCTCCTTTCCGTTCTGCTCCTTTCTTCTTCTTCCTGTATTTAGGGTCTAACGCTTTCAGTACTTCGTGAGCGAACTTTGGTCTTGCCAAACAAAGAGTGTTGAAGTATTCACAGAAGTTATTTTGAAACAAAGTACCGGAAAGTAAAATTCTCAATTCGGTTTGTACTTTCATCAAAACTTTTCTCAACCTCGACTTAGTGCTTCTAGGATTGTGGCCTTCATCAAGTACCAATAGTCCCGGACTTTCCCTCAACACTTTAGCCATAAACTTTCTGTGAGCAAACTTCGAATCCTCTCGCATCAATGTTAAAAACGAAGTGTAGCCCATGATAAGAACACTCGGACGCGAATGCCATTTTTGTATCTTCTCAAGGCAATCCAAAACATGCTTGACATCATCGGTAGGCTTGGGAACACCGGGAAGAGAAGCATAATTATTCTGCTTGAATACTCTATAGGTTCTGCGACCGTGAATCAGATACACCGGTATAGGAATCTCCCACTTGATAAACTCTTTATACCAAGTATAGAGAGTTGTTTTCGGTGCAAGAACTAGAGGTCGCTTCCCCGGGAATAACTTCAAGTAGCTTACGAGAAAAGCAATGATGAGAAAAGTTTTTCCGGCTCCAGGAGTATGAGATATCACACATCCACCTCTTTTTCTGTATTCTGCTTCAATTAGTCTTGGATCTGTAGAGCCTGCAATATTTTGCCAAAGAAACTCGAAAGCTTTCTTTTGATGAACGTGCAACTTATCTTTGAGTTCAGGAATTAATGACCAAACGCTTTCGCTTTCTTCAGATATTGGTTCGTCGGGAGAGACATCGGTCGGAAAGAAACGGAAATCATCATCTTCATCAGCCTTCGTAGACTCTTTGTCTTCTACTCCATCACGCTGCTTCTCCTCTTGACACCACACTGATTTTTCGACCTGCAATGCCAACAAGGTTATCAGATACTGACTTGAGAAACACTTCATCAAAAACAAGAGCACACTCATACACAGATATATCTTTGTAAGTTTTAATCGACTTACGAAGATTGGATTAACATCTCTGATATCGGTGGTCACAAATCCACATCTAATGCAGTATATTCCGATTTCTTCATCCAATCTATTATCATGTTCACAATCTTTTTTCAAATTTTTCTCAGGCTCGTAAGGAACAATCGCATTTGAAACCTGATTAAATAATGGAACTGATTAGCCTTAGAGAAAACAAACAAAATGAACAAAGATAAATAAAAACAAAGGCAAAGCGATTACAAACCTCTGATTCTTCAAAATAACTTGATGCCAGCGACACTTCAAGTTCTTTCCACAGTTTATCGAGTTCAGCTTTTTCTTCTTCGTCCTCTCCATGAGAAATCTCGGCCTCCTCCTTTTGTCCAACTCCGTTTGTTGTGTCTCGTTTCTTCCATTGAGCCGTAATAGGTGGCTCTTCTTTCACAGGTATTTCATTAATATTCAATAAATATGAATTTATCAAATCCTTGTATGCAGTGGCATTCAATGATCTGTCTTTATAATTATGAGTTCTTCCTTCGTCGTTATTTCTTAAATACGTCGAACGATATTTTCCCTCACGAAAACCTTTTTTGGATTTTCTTTTTATCCTTTCCCATTTATTTCCAAGTTCCATATCATCCAAACCACCCAAACTCTTCTTTTGTAACTTAGAGGAGCCGAAAAATTTACTTCTCAGAAAAGCATTATCGCTACTTTCAGCGTCTCCCGACTTTCCAGAAGTATCTAACAAGTTAATGTTTTTCCTTGGTTTAGGAGTATTAACCAAATGACGATACTTCAAAGAAATATCAGATGATACAGGCTCGTTACTTCTAATAACGTTTCTGTTTAGATCGCAATGCTCCACGGTTATTGGATCAGCATCTTGATCAGGGAGAGGGATAATAGCAAGTTGATTATTATGTTCATTTTGATCAACTTCACAAGACTTCTTCAATTCTCGGTTTTTAGGCCTCCGATTGTACACTAGAAGCTTTTGGCTGGTATTCGGTCTGTCGGACTTCTGAGATTTCTCGCCATTCTTTTCGTGACGGTTTTGATGCAAACGCAAAAAGCACGCTAAAGACAACGACATTTCGTCTTCTTTGATGGACGTATTTATCCTAACCGGCGGAGCGTTTCTAAAGGAACCAACATCCAACTCTTTAACTTCGCAACCAAGGTAACGCTCGGGCTGGACATGCCTGCGTTTGGAGCGTCGTAAGCCATCTGCATTAAGAGATGACGAAGCTTCATCCGCATGGGATTCATACGCATGACAAACTCTCTTGGTGTTAGCTATAGCAACTTGAGAAACAATCGGTACCAACATGCCATTGTCATTTTTGAAACTGACAACATCAATATGAGACTCGCTGTTCGACAACAAGCTAGTACTACTATCGCCTATCAAAATTTGATACACCATCTTGTTTTCAACCGATCTTGCACTGAAAGAAACCTTCTTGACAACCGACGTAACAACTAACCATGAAAGATCGGATAAAAACTTTCCCAATAGCAATTTACTGTGTGGTAATGAAGAGCAATCCTCGGATGAAGACCACCGGTAGGGTTGATTTTCACAAGGATTATGGTCGACTTTTTGGAGGATGGAGATCTGATTGAGTCTGAATACTTTGATATCCTTACAAAGAGTTCTCATCTCTAAACCAAGTGAACCTTGATCGACATAGAAGTTGACAAAAAACTGACACGAGCACTCGGAATCATGCCGCTTTCTTTGTATAGAACTTATTCTAGCATCCATCCAAACCTATAATTTAAAAAATAACAGTAAATTATATAACACAGACAACGGACACCAGACATGCAGAAAGAAATTTCTATGAAGCACCCAGACACCAGACACGATGCTCGAAGAAGAAAAAAAATTACAAGTTTAAAGTTTCAACTTAAAAGGAATACTTACAGGCTCCGGATTTAAACCAGCTGAATCATTGGCTTGTTTACGGGGTGTTAGCACGCATATGTCAATTCCAGGACGTAAAAAACGGGAGCAATCGGACACAATAGCTTTCCTTGAGCTTATTCGAATGTCTGATAAAGTACCTTTATCCACAGCTGATAAAGTACCTTTATCCATAGTGATACGGTGATTATCTGCAAAATGTATGGTTATAGCTCCCGACTTAACTTTTATCGACTCCACCGGATGCCATGAGCCCAAGGAAATGGCTTCAAAAGCTGTTTAGAACGAAAATGCATTATGAAGTCAATAATTTAGAAACAAGTTTGTTCTGTAAATGAATACTGTCGTGTTTGGATAAACATCCTAATTATTAAAAGGGCTTATTATATAAGTGCTTATATATAAGTTATTACAATAACAGAAGACAAAATAAATTTAAATTGATTCCATATAAAACTATAAGCTATTTAACATTCTGGAAAAATTATGGAAATAAGCTGCAAACAGTTTATCGGGCTTACGGTGAGAACTGAATGGATTCTTCAACTGATTTAGATGTCTTTTTCTGTTCATCTTTGTCTGCAACTGCTAATTAACTTGTCAATGTTGTATGTTAGCAACTTCAACACCTGATTAAGCACATAAACATACAAAAAAATGTTAATCACTCTTTGAAGTTTAAGTTGTTTTTGCCAAATTGAGTATCTAAACTTAAATTCACCTAAATTTTATGTAATTTAATCTAAGAACAAAACAAGCACAAAAAAAAAGCTATACAAGGAACTGTGAACTGACCCTAGATTAACAGATGCTGTGTTGTTTAGCAGAAAACAAACACATTCACACATGTGAACATGTCAAAGATTCTTTATGATGAAAAGTAACAAGAAAAATAAAAACGTTTAAGATTATGTTACCAATTCAAACCTACACTAGTTAAACAACATTTTAGTTTAAAAAAACACCCAGGAAAAAAAAGCTAAAAGATTCTTAAAAAATAGACAAAAAGGAGTTTTTTTATCTGTTTTAGTAAACAAAACCACCTTAGAGAACAAGTGAAAAAACACAAAGTGGATCAAAAACATGATCTTAGATTGTTGACTTAGAATAATGTATGAGACATATATTTAGATGATTTTGTGGTAAATGAAAAAACAAGTGATGAAATTCTTACCAAAAGAGAGAAAACAGGTGTGTTAGTGAGGAGAGAATCTTAGAAAAGCAGATGCTGTTGTTGTTACAAAAGAATCATGATGATTTATAGCGATGAAAAAGAGAAGATGAGGTAATAATGTTGCTGGAAATGAGGTAGTTGAGAGTGAAGTGAGGAGAGTGAGAGAGAAAGAGAGAGAGAAAGATGTACTAACAAAGTGTGAAGTGAAACCAGACATAGAAAAAGGAGCTGAGAAAAGTATTGAAATTCGTGCAGTTGCATGAGAGAGAAATTCAAGAAGGGTAATAGAGGAGGACCAGGTTCTGAACAACTTGGAATGTGTGTATCAATATGAATTTAAGGAAAGCTGTTTTTTTTTTATTAGTTACTGTCTAAATTATGTGTGTGAAATTTTTTTTTATATACCACAAGTAAATTAAATAAAAATGAAAGAGATTATAAAAAATATTGATGGGGCAAACAAAACATAATCTAAATAAATTATTATTGATGATTAATAGTTTATACAGATGGTTAATGACTTATAACTAATAAATTAATTGAAGTGTTTGGTAAAATCAATTGTTTGATTAATAGATTTTTTTTTTGTATAATTAACTAATAAATTAAAATGACATAAAAGATATTTAAGTTTTGTTTGGTAAAAATAGTAATTGACTTATAAATTAGTAAATAGCTTATGAATGATGGTTGGTTGATCACTGATAATTTATAGTTTAGAGTTTATGGCTGGTGACTAATCGCTAATAAGTTAAAAACTAATTAAAATGTTTGATAAAATTAACTTTTAAACTGACTGATAATTTTAAATAATATAAAAGATATTTAATATATAATTATTTTATTTTGAATTAAAATAAATCATAGAGGATATAAATGAATCTTAATTAAAATAATAAAGATAAAAGTGAAAGAAAAATAATATGATGTAAATTTGAAATAGCGTTTGTAAAATAAACTATAAAGTAGTAAAATAAACTATAGGTTCATGATAAAATGATTTTTACTAAACGAGTCTTTATTATCATATAAGTTTATACGGTATAAACTATAAACTCAAAAATTGTCAGGCCAAATAGATCCTAAATACATAATTGTTTTATTTTAAAATAAAATAAATTATAAAGGGTAATAATGGGTTTTAATTAAAATGATAAAAGCAAATGTGAAAGAAAAATATAAGCTATAAGTTATTAGATAAAATGCTATTTGAAATAGAGTCTAGAAAATAAAATATAAGTTCATAATGAAAAGACTTTTCCCAAACAGAATACGCTCAACAGAGGCACTATCTATCAAACTTGTGTACAAAAACAAAATCAAATAGCAAAAATGTGTGGGTCTTCACAATTTTAGTTAATCGTGGAAGCACGCCAACGCACAAGGAGCATAAAACTCTTTCCAATTAAACCATCTAAATCGCGAGACACTCGTGCATCACATGCACAAATCAGTGAATTCACTGCCAACTTAAGTAGAGGCGCGAAACATTGAAAAAAATTATGAAACGTAAAATGAAAAGCATCATACTCAGATTTAAAAGATGGCGAAGAAACTCGACCGCCAACTCGATAACAAATTCATTAACCTACAACTCGCTAACAAACTCAAGCATGCAACTAACTCGCATAGAAGCACCAAACCAAATTGCAAAAAGTGAGAAAAGTAAAATGACAAGCACCATACTCAGATGTTACCATACTCAGATTTTGAATGACCATTCAAACTAGTCAGAAAAAAATATCAACTCATTTCAGTTAGGTGTCCGAACAGTTAACAAAAAGACTAACAGTCAAATGCAAACTAATAAATTAGATCTGAGATCAAATCAAACCAAATCAATAAATCAGATCCAACACAAACACGGAATTCTTCCATATCTATCTCGAAACTACTGTCATTATATGAAAAGCGACACTAACAAAGACAATCGAACACCGAAATAAATCACCAACGAGAAATAGTAGAAAAAATAGAGAAAAAGGTTATTCGGATGGCAATCCTAACCGCATATCATTTTAATAACAACTCTAAATAAAATCCTAGATAAAAGCTGATATGACGATTTCACAAATTTTCTCAAACTAAAAATATTACTAAAATTGATATAATTATATTTTTTTTATAAAATTTTTTATTCTTTTAATAGATATTAATAATAATGATACTAATATTATTCATATTTCTATTCCAATTTTATTCTAATTCCAATTATAAATTAATAAAATAAAACTCATAAAAATTGTATATTTCTATTCCAGTTATAAAGGGCATTTAACAAAATAAAATTGATATAATTATATTTTTTTATATAACTCTTCATTGTTTTTAACTTTAATTCAAAAAAAAATTATTTGAATAATCACTAAAATTATAACTAATACACTACAATGATGATAATATAAAAAATAAAAAATAAAAAAATAATCTATTAATAATTGCTACAGCACAATAATTTAAATATAAAAAAATCAAGTAAGAATAAAATTATTTACTACATTATTTGTATTTTTATATAAAATTTGAATTATTTAGTTTTTCAAAATAATAAATACAAATCACAAATCACAAATAAAAAATGATATTAATAACTAATTATGATAAAAATATTTTTCACTTAGTTTATAAAGATTATAAGAAGATTTTTTTTCTCAATTTTATTTAGTGACTAAATTATATATTTAATTTTATATAATTCAAAATATAATTATATATAATAATTTTTTTTTTATTTATAGAAGTTAATAGAATAGTAATTTTTAAAACTCAAATTAATAAATTATTTTTAACTTTAAAACTATTTTTGAAAATTGGTTTAGAAAATAAATTTTTTTTCACGTATCATAATAAATAATAATTAAAAAATTAAATAATAATAAATATTTTAATCATTGTTATTAATTTTATGTATCATAACTGAGTTATGAGTTATAAATAACAACAATAATAATACCATTCATATTCTTATTCCAATTTCAATTATAAATTAATTAAAAAAAACTCATAAAACTATTTGCATTTCTATTCCAATTATAAAGGATATCTAATAAAATAAAATTTATATAACTATATTTATTTTATAAGACTCTTCATTATTTTAAACATTAATTCAAAAAAAATAATGAAAAATAAAATTATTACAGTAATTACTAAAATTTTAAATAGTATAGTACAATGATGATAATATAAAAAATAAAAAATAAATACATTAATAATTACTAAAGAGTAAAATTTTAAAATAAAAGAAATTAGGTAAGAATAAAATTACTTACTACTTTATTCATATTTTTATATATGTTTTAAATTACTTAGTTTTTCAAAATAATAAATACAAATCACAAATATATAATTATTTTAATAATTAATTATGATAAAAATATTTTTCACTTAGTTTATAAAAATTATAAAAAAAGATTTTGTCTTCACTTTATTTAGCACTAAATCATATATTTAATTTTATATAATTCAAAATTTATCTATTAAATATAATAAAAATATTTTTCAACCTAATGATGAAGAACTAACACAAAACAATGAATATTCTATACCAAATGAAGAGGTTGGTGAAGAGAGTGAAGATGAACTTCATGAGATTCGAATGCAAGATCTTTTTGGTGCCAACGATGATGATGGCAATGAGGATCCCATCTGTGTGCCTTCCTAGGCCATAAATGTGAAACTAATTAATTTGTACAATCCACCGGTACACATGTCAAATATATGTCTGGAGGAAGCTCAACCTATCTCTGTTTTTGGCAACATCACATTGTTTCCAGTGATTTCTGGTAAACAACCGCTAGTCTTTCAAACTATCGAATAATCTTTCTGACTGTTATTCAATTCCTCTGGTAACTCACAGGATCGACTAGATTGATCCTAGGACTCCTTGGATATTAAGGTTACTCTCACGATCGAACAAATATTCATGGTTGATATTGTATATGTGTTTGGCTTATTTCGATTTCTCTCTCTAAAAGTCTAAAGATATAATCAAAACGTGTGTGAAAACTAAATTACATGAATAAATGCTAATTGTAAAGACATGTAAAACTACATAAAAGTGAAATAAATGGTTTCGACTTACAAAACAGTTAATGTAAAGGATTTCTGGAACGTAAAAGGTTTGAAATATGAAGAAAGCGTTTAATGCAAGAAATCTTTAAATGACTTTAAGTAAAAATATGCGTTCGAAGGATAAGACTTGAAGGTAAAGGTATGGAAAATATGACAGTTTTCTGAGATATGAAGTGCTTGAAATATGAAGAAAACATTAAAATGTGAAACTTTGAAGAAGAGATTTCGAAGTGAAAAGACTGTAAATAAGAAAACTTGTAAAGGTTATTTGACAAAAAGGATAAAGGAAAGTACTGGAAATGGTAAAAGGTTTTCATTAAATCAGAAATACATGGTGCTATCATACATACATTTCTCTTGCATTCGTTTCCCTTGCCATGTGGTAGTTTGAATGTTACTGAGTATTTTGTATAATAGATATGACACCCGAAATCCTAATACTAAGACTTTTATTTATACTAATTCGACCATAACGGTCTTGCTATAGGATTATGCCACGTTTAGAGCATGCAGGACAATGCCTCTTTCATCTTTCCACGTGTCCCCAAATGCTCCAACACATAACTTTCAAACTTCGAAAGTCCCGCTTCCATTTGAATTTCAAATGCTTTGGTGCTTCTCCGTTTCGAACGCTCTTCCCAGACGCAGCCTTGTTGTTATTTCGAGACTTCTTTAGATATGTTCCCATAATTGCCACTCGAAGCTCCAAGCTTTGACACACTTATTCGAAACACTGCTTCTGCTACTTCGAAATATGACGCTTTACCTCATTTCGATCAAAACGTTTAATTCATTTAGCTTCTAATAACATTATCAAAATCTTCAGCCAACAAATTGCCTCTTTAAAATATGTATTTCGATTCCTCTGAGAAATACCTATTTTAAACACCTACACAAGATTTTGATGGGACTTTCGAATCATCGTAACATTTAATGCATTTGACTTCAGTCACGTCAATCATAGCACCTTTTGGATTCCTTAACCGCCTGGAGCCACTTCACAGCGTGGTGCAGTTACAAATAATGATTATCTTTAAATCACGCCTATTACCCATGTTAACTTTACGCCACCTCTTCATCACACCAACCCATGATCTCCACGTATCATACCTTTATTCGGTGGATGCTTAAACTTCCCCATTATAAAACATCAACTTAATCTTCTTCTTTTCTTTTCACACTCTAAATCTTTCACACTCTAAATCTTTTACCCTCTAAATCTTTTATC